TAGAGTTTTAACTTGATAAAAAGAAATGAAACTGAATTCCTTCTCTACTAGAAACATAGAACTAACTACACACTCCCTAAATCCTAGGTATGATCCTAAGCTCATTACACGCAATACTTCATCAGAATTCCTAAAACAACTGTATGAACCAAATGCAATAATTATTCCCATTTTGCAGATGACTGAGTCATAGGCTGAGGAGGTTCAGTACATTTCCTAAGACTGAGGATCCAGACTTCAAACTGGTAGGTGGATTCAAAGGCTGTTGCTACTGTGCCACATTGCTTCTTAATTCTGGGAAAACTGGTGTAATTTTATCCCCAAAAGATTATTCTAATGATTTTAAGCAAGAGTGACTGTAACAGTAGAACTAAGATAGAGTACTAAGACAGGTAAAAATCCTCCAGTTTTTTTTAGTCTGGAATAAGATTCGGAGCGATGTTTTCACAAGCGTAAGTGTTCTTTTCATGCTCTCTGTATAGAAACATGTGCGCATGCCCATGCGTTCACGTGAGCACATGTTTGTGTATCATGAGAAAAACACAGAATTAGAGAAACAGAGGAAAGAAGAAAGAGAGATTTTAAAACATAAGGTAAAGATGAGGGGCGGTGCTGGGAGGCTCCGTGGGTTAAGTGACTGTCTTCAGCTCAGGTTATGATCCCAGGCTCCTTGCTTGAGGTGAATCTGCTTCTCTCTCTCCTCCCAGCTCAGTGCTCTCTCTCTCTCTCTCTCTCTTTCTAATAAATAAATAAAATCTTGGAAAAAGAAAAAAAGATTAAAAAACCCTCCTTGTATTAATTCTGGATTATACTAATGTGAATAGGTCACCAAGGTACCAGAACATAACTTCTAACTGCCATTCTGAGGGAGATTTATAAAGCTATCTGTCTCACCTCTGCCTCCTTTCCAATTTACTCAGTGTGGAAAATGACACCGGCCTTCCAAAACCTTAACTTATGTTTGGACCCCTTCCATATGAGTCTAACTCTAGCGTTGCTGACCATTCAAGATGAATATTTCAGCGGGGCTGGAACAGTCCTGTTGGCCTGAGCCAAGCTTTCTATGGCTTGCATGCTTTAAGAGGTTAATCTAGCCCGCCAGTTCACTTTGTTCAAAAGGATTAAATGAAAAGACTGTAACATTCAAAGAAAGGCAAAGCTCACTAGGTAAGACCCCAATAATATAATGGACCATAAAACCTCTAGAACTTTTTACCATAACATTTTATGAAACATACGTATATGCTCACTGGAACAGAATCCAATTCAAATGGTTCTGCAGGTCAATTAAAGTCAGCACATATGCAGTATCTTTGGGAAAAATACGCATTATTTCAAAAGTGCCTGGACCTAGATGCTTCCTTTCTCTATTTTATAGTTTGTTATCAGTCTAGAAATATACTCTGTTAGGGGGAAAAAAGGTCACCTACCACAGTATAATATAATTTGGTGCCAAAACAAAAAGCTCAATAAAGTAGTACAAATTTCAGTATCAACAAATCTTTGTGTTGTGGAACAAAAAAGAATCGAAGAAGGTAATTCTAAAAGGAAGTGCTAATTTTAAGTGTGGGTGATAAATATAAAAATTGAAAACAAAGATTTCATTCCCAACTTCACAACTAATTATGAAATCCTTCAATGTGCACTGTGAAAGGAGCAAAAGAATCTCAATTCCTACATTTAAAAGAAAAATGAATTAGGAATGGGCCTGATTAGAGCCACCTATCTTGTATTATTCTGATGTTTCCTAAATGCTAGGCGCAACCATGATCCTCCTAAGGGGAAGGAAGTAAAGGTCCACTTTGCATGACAAAGGTCAGATTTCTGCAGACAAATGAGACCTCTTTGATTGACTGTTCCTAGGTTATCACTGGCTGGCTGGGTCCTAGGAGGTCAAGAAAGGTTCCAAACTGTGCTCACTGCTTAAGGGACACCCCTGGGGCCACTTTAATCATTTTAAGATCATTACAACTTTTCTTATTCTGGTTCCAGCTCTACTCCCTTAAATCTTGCTAATACATATTGGCAGTTCAGTCCTGATGTAGGTTAAAAAGAAATTGGAAGTATTCAGTACTATGTGCAATGGATCCAAAGAGAATCCACTCATTTAATAACTTCTTTTAAATCTAAGATTGAGTTCAGTGAAATTCAAGTAGACCACAGAGGGTGATAATCAGGCCCCAGTAGGAAAAGCTGACTCTGTTACAGCTGTCCTGGTATTTACACTATGTCATCGATGCCACTGCTCCAGATTTCATTTTATACGAGGTAGCTTAATGCAAAAAATATCTTTGTTTCCCCAATCATTACATATGTTTAATTGTAATTATTATAATGTTTTACTTTTTTATAATGCTATTAAGTGATAAACACACAAGAAACACTGAAATAAAAATCATCACTTGACTGCATTTCAGTGCTCTTCTACTTAGTGCAAATATATGTCTAAACTTTCTCACAGTGGACTGGAAATATATCAAATGGACTGTATTGATAAAAGCAAGAAGAGTTCTGTTCTGCCTATTTGTAATTAATGAAGGATATCTCTTAAGTACTTTAGATAATGTGTACAAAACATCTGTATTTAATTATATCGCCGTTCTCTTAGATGATGGGAATTGAATTAAGAAATATTTTGAAACCCCTATGCAGATATAAAGGTATTAATGGCTGTTCAAGAACTTCGTTGGTATAATGCTTGAAGAGTTCAGTTTTATAAATCAATGGCCTGACGCTTCATTAATATCAGATTTTCAATTTTACAAAGGGAATAACCTTAAAATATTAGGCAGATACAGAAAATAGAACATGAGCCAAGACAAGGGCTGGATCTTTTCACTATTACTATGTATCACACAGACACAGAAAATGCCTGTTCTATTAGTGCAGATCTGAATAAAATTTTGTAACATATATAGTGAGCAGGGTTTCTCTTTGAATTCTGTTGTGGACTGAGAATTTTTACAAGAATAAATTAACAGCTCGCTAGTCATTCCTTACAGAGAAAAAAAAAGAAAAAAAAAATCCTAAACTTGTTCTCATGGAAACTGGGACACAGAGTATGGGTTTTCAGTACTTGTTCTTAAGTATTGAAAAAGATCAGATTTTCTTTCTGGATGCTTTACTGGTTCCAAATGCCACTTCTTTTCAAAGTCAGTGTCAGCTCTGCAGTCAGTTTTCAGTCTCCCAGTGGTAAGAATATATTCAAAGGCTGTGTGCACAGCAGGGTAGAAGTCTTTCTCCATGAATGTAACTGTATCACTCATCAGTAACCTCCTGCCATAAGGGGACTTATGTTTTCTTTCCTTTTAGTGACTCCTCAGGTCCTTGAATGCCAGTCACTGCCCTGAGACCTGGGGCAATAGTCACATAATCTCTGTCAATAGTTCCTACATAAGCCACTGGTGCAACTAAATGTCAAGACAGCAGATCAAAGTCGGCACATTCTAAAACTCATGTCCTTTATGGATCAATTTTCATAAACTATACTCTGTGTTTTAGACATACATGGAAGCTCATTCTTTGCTTTCTTCCTTTTAACCCAGACAAGTTTATTTACATGAAAGGCAATCTGATTTGTACATAATAGTGTGAAATTCTAATGCAATACATAAATCTCATTCTCCTCTTTGCATAGCCCTCTGGAGGTATTTTACTTCTTGGAAGTATTTTACTATACCTATTGTCTTATAGTAGAAATGCAAAACTCCTTGGGCTATAAAAATAAGAAGGCAAAGACTGGTTTCAATACTTCACTATCCTACCCCAATGCCTGGTACAAAAGATGGTAGGTAGTACGCTCCTACTTATGATGGATTTTATTTTTAAATCTTCATTATGCTAAGGTAAATTATGACAGACAATAGCTTTAGCATGTGGTTTTACAATCTATATCTATTTTTGTTATTCATGATTGCTTGGGAAAATGAATATAATTATTGGAAAGCATTTTTGCTCTGTAGGATTCAAATACAAATTACATAGATCTAGTCTTCTTAAGTAAACCTGAGTAAAATACAATGGACCAAACTATCTTCTCTGAATATCTTTTCAGATAGTTCTAGATACAAAGATTTTAAAATTTACTTATTTTCCTTAAAAAAAAAAAACTGTACTTGGAAAACATATGATTTAGAACAGAATGCACACCAATGGTATTTATGCTTATATCTAGCTGAACTTTAAATATATTTATTACAGAGATAAGAGCATGCAACACATTAAATATTCATGTATCAGGGGTCTGAAAATGGAAAATTTGAGCAAACAAATACTAGCCTTAGAGCCAGAAGGTGGTTTACTAAACTCCAAATAGAAGCTTCATTGTCTCAGTTACCCTAAGCAAATTTTTATATAATTACATGAGATCATTAGGTACAAAGCATCACTCTGAGTTCTCCTGTAATCTGTGAGACATTAGGCAAGTCACTTACTCAGAAGGTAGCCTTGGTCTTATCTTTATTTTATTTTAAATTTGCTTTATTGGTTGAATAAATTGAATAAATAAATCAATTTATTTTAAATTATTTTAAACAATTAAAATTTACAAGTGCTAAAATGTGTAAGAAAAAGAAAGTTTATTATTCCTACTTTTGCAGTAAACGGCTGAGGCCAAAGGAAAATTTAGATAAATGGGGGAAATTACAGAGGTCCTCATTAGTGGAGAAGATTTAAATTTTTGGAGAAATCGAATTTTTATGTTCCTTAATTCTACTCTTTGTTGGCTTTGTTTTGTAATTCCACTCTTTGTTGGATTTGTTTAAAATCCAAATACGGTGAACTTTTAAATTAGAAAAGATACTTTGATTATATCCTGAATCAACTGGTGTTGAAATCGGGGATGTACGTGTCTGCATGCACATGTTTGTTTGTGCTAAGGGGAGGGGTGGAGGGGGCAGAAGAGCTGTGAGGCAAATCCTTTGGCTTTCCTCTAGAGGATGGCCAAACAAAACTACAGCTACATTATGGAAAAGCAAGTGGGTCTTGCTAAACCAACTTACCAGTTTTTCGAAGGGGGAAATCATCCTTCGTGTCCTGTGCTCCTGGTAATGTGTATTTGTAGGATGGAGATGTTCCACTCAGGGGTGGAGAGCTTTGATCCAGTGACGTGTGGTGGGCAGCCCTACCAAAGAAAAAGAGGCTTCACCATTTGCTCTGGAGTTTTTCCTGCATGTTGGTCAGCAATAATCAGTTGCACATGCTGTACACGTGTCTCAGCTGCGTTTATGTTCTTTCTGTCCAGTGTGTGCAATCACAGCCTCGCGAACCACGTTCACTTTAGCAGTATGCTACAGAATGTTGCAGGACCCCCAAGAATGACCACTGTGTGTCCGGTCACTCACTTGTACAGACCTTCCCTCACTAACAGAGAATTCACTGAGAGCCTGAGTTTGGATCATCTGAGATCATTGTGGATTTCTCTTAGGTGCCACACTTACAAAAAGGTCACCACCCAAATCCTTTTTAGTCAACAGGGTAGAATAGCCAGAGTACCAGTAAACATATAGAAGGGACTTCGTTTGCAAAAATTGTTAGGTAGTACACAAAAGTACACGAAGGTGCTTTTCTACCACAGTGAAACTACCGTTATCACAGTTTCAGATCCCCTGGCTTGAACAGCACTTCCAAGGTAAAGGCTGGCAATCAGGTATTTCCCCAATATGAAACTAGTTTTTAAAAATGTTTCCTCTCCCCTACATAAATATAGTGAAAGAGGTGGAGCTGTACTACTGGGGAGGAGTTTTCAGAACTGAATGTCAATTATCCAGTGGATGTGAACACCCACAACTACGATATGTGAAGAAAACAACCAACAGGGAACAGTATCACCACCAGGATAGTGATTCTATCAGTATCGTTTATCTGAATCACACATTCTCAAAAATTAACTTAAGGACACTTCATCTAGCCCTAACTAGAAAAAAAGTATTAAATTCAGATTCCATAAATTAATGATTTATGGTGTCTGGCATTGGACCCTACTGAAGTTCAAGTCAGCACAAAAAAGGATTGCTAAGTAAATATTTAATATACCCAAGGGGAAACCTGAAGAACTTTCAGCTGACATGCGGTTTGCCTCTAGTTAGTTGTTTTCCCACTTAAAAAAGGTATTGCCTCTTCTTAAAATGAGCTTTAACCTACAAGGAATATGAATTAGTTACAAATTATGTATGTAATTTTAGGTTACAAAGTGGTGTTTATTTCTAAATACTTTGTGATGTTTACTGAACATCTGAAAATTTTCTTCAGGGACTGGCTTCTCAAGTCAATTGACATGCCTGATAGAAATTACATAAACCATTAAAAAGTATTTATGCAGCACTCTGGAATCAGCCTTGGTCACTTTTTTTTTTTGCATGCTGAGAAGGGCAGATACTTATAAAACAGAAGTATAAGAACTCTTTAACTAGAACTCTTGGGATGCTTACAGTTTCAATATAGAGCAATCAAGTATATATTCCCTTATCTTTGATGAGCTGAAGAATCAAAAAAATGTAAGTTTAAAACCTGATGGTCATTCAGTAAACATATAAAATGAGAAAAATGAAACTACTGTCTATTACAGTCTATTATCCAAACATTTGCTTATCAGTATTTGTCCTGATTTTTAAAAACACCACATCGTTTCTATTTTCCTGAGAGGAGAACTGTGTATCTCATAGTTCTTTTCACTGGACCTGGGGAAACATGGTTCCGGGCGTCCGTAACAGCAGTGTCTGATGTTGTCAGCTGGTGTGTGAGAGAAGTCAGTGTGCTCAGCTCACAGTGTGACAAGAAATGAAGTCAGATGGTCAGGGGTAAACTTGTCACGAAGACTCCGCTTTACTTCCTTGCCTCCGTTCTCTTTCTCTTCCCTCCTTTGTCTTCCTGCCTTTTTTTTTTTTTTTTTTTAAGTCAAAAAGCTTCTGGTCTTTTAAAAATAGCTCAGATCTCCACCTTCTATCGAGCCAAGTAAAATAAAGTCTCAACCTGCCAAATCTTCAGAAATTATTGTAAAGATATCAGATGCACCATCTGAGAATAGAAAAATGCAAAATAGGAACTAATTTCTATGCCCCACCCCACATTTCTGTTACTCATTCACCAAAAAACATTATCTACTTCCTTGCCCTCAAGATGATACTTGCTAACATTTATTAAGCACTACTCTCTGTTGCATACTTGACTGTATTATTTCATAAGACCTTTCTAGCAACCCTAGAGGGCAGGTACTATCATGATCTTCTCACTGAGAAGGACGAGAATTCAAGGAGCTTCTCCACTGCCACAGAGCTGAGAACTGGCAGACCCCGGTCCAGTGCCCAGGCTGGCTGAGCACAGAACCTGTGTTCTTGACCCCTGGGAAGGAAAAAGGCCAAACACTGAACATACGTGTACCAGAGCTTGGGATGGCGGCTCACGGAATGATTTTTTCCATTTGTTGGAGTGTCTTTTGTTGCTGATTTACTCAATAGGAATTCTTGAAGCTTCTGCTTTACTTCTGTACTTGCCACTGCCCCTGAAACACACACATACAGAAACCGATTTTGATGTGGGGCTTTGTCCTTCCATATCTCTGAAGTATTTAACAAAAATTAAGAAGTAACACCACTGGTCACTGCATATGACGCTTTCCTATTAAAAGAAGAAACCAGAGTCTAAACAGGCTTTTGGGAAATGGCATAGGTAATGTTTTGTAACTACTGGTCAAACCGCCAATTTTCAAAGGACCTTGGACGATTTCTTTAATTGCTTCTGCAGAAGGGGGAGTCCCAGAATTAAGACTAATTTTTTCCTGAGGTAAAAAAAAAAAATGAGGAATAAAACACTGCCTTTTAAAAATCAAGAGTCTTAGGGGACCACATAAATGATTGAACACAATACAATGATCTTCCTGAATTGCTAGTTTGAAAAACTCACGTTTTAAAAAACTCTTTTGAGCATTAAACAAATAAATATCACTGACAGTTTCAGTTCTAGTCATCTGATCTTTAGTGCTACATCCTGATTTTGAACTGACCTCAGACAAGGGAATTATTTGGATCTGTCTCCCTCTTGTGGATAGTTTTTTTAAACAAATGTTCTGCCTTAAATCTTCCCTAAGTCCGGGGACTCAAAAACTAGATGGAGGCAAAGGCTTGACTTACAGAGCAATTATTACTTGAGCAGAAGGAAGGTACAGTGAGGAAATGTGGAAGTAAGTTTATTAATAAAACAATATGGCATGGCTAGATTGCTTTAGTAGAAACTCATTTTTAAGGTTCAAAACAACAGAAAATCAGTATCTCTGCCAAACAATGCTCAGTGGACTTCCCCGAGACACTGCAGACCAAATGCAGAGAGATGAGATGTGAATGTCAAAAAAGTTTTAGACGGGGGTCCACAATTTATTCTTTAACTAAATGCAGACAGTTTTGACAAGTTTATTTTATTTTACTTTTGACAAGTTTAATTCCACTCCTTATCAGGCTTCACTCTGAATGATGACGAGCTAAACAGGAGGGGAGAGATGCATCTTTTACCCCTGGTGCCTCTTACTTTCTCGTCCTCTATCTTTGCCTCTGAGAGGAGGAAGCTGCTGTTCTCTGCGGTGCCTCTCTACTTCCTGTTCTTGCCTCTGCTGCTCCAGTTTCTGCTCCTTTTCTAGGAGTTCTTGTTGCTGTTTTATGGCTAGAAGTTCCTGTTGCAACTTGCGAGAAGAGAAAGACATGAGAGTGTGCAATTTCTTTAGGCTTCATTGTCATCACTGACCCAAATCAAACTGTTAGGAGCTTCTGGAATTTGTTTCTGTTTAATTTACATTTTTACTCACTTTTTTTGTAAATTATTGAAATCTAAAGACAAACAATTAATTCCACAGACGGTCTTCATGTCATCAATCAGCAAGTTTTTAGGTAGCTTCATTAGCTGTGCCGCCCCACCAAAAGTCATTCCCAAATTTGCTCTAATCTTTACTTCCCTGAGTAGCTTCTCTTTGTATTTCTGAAATATAAGAAACAGGCAAAGGCAAGAATGGCCCAGAAGTCTGTTCTATCAAGTCCCTCCCATTATAAATAAACAACTGAAATCTTTATTTCTTATCCTGAGAAATGGTATGAAAATATCAAACCAAAGGGATGGTGAGAAATGAGTTAATTTAAGGGAAGTCTACCTGAAACAGAATGAATGTTAAAAATTTCAAAACTTGGGGCATCTGGGTAGCTCAGTTGTTAAGTGTCTGCCTTCGGCCCAGGTCATAATCCCCGGGTCCTGGGATCAAGTCCCCAATCAGGCTCCCTGCTCAGTGGGGAGTCCGCTTCTCCCTCTGCTCGCTCCCTGATCATTTCTCTCTCTCGAATAAATAAGTAAAATCTTCAAAGAACAAACAAACAAACAACAAAAAAAAAACTTCGGGTCGCCTGGGTGGCTCAGTGGGTTAAGCCTCTGCCTTTGGCTCAGGTCATGATCTCAGGGTCCTGGGATCGAGCCCCACATCGGGCTCTCTACTCAGCAGGGAGCCTTCTTCCCCCTCTCTCTCTGCCTGTCTCTCTGCCTACTTGTGATCTCTCTTTCTGTCAAATAAATAAATAAAATCTTAAAAAAATTTTTTTAAAAACCTTCAAAACCTTATAGAGAATGTTCTCGGATTAATGTATCTATATATTCATGGTAGGCATGTCTCTCAAAACAGCAGAAGACTAGTTCATTCATCCAGCAGGCAAAAACCTTCTGATTAGAGATGGGTCAAAACAAAATCATTTCCATTAAAGTACTGTCAGGTTGTCTGAATCCCTTGACTTCAGTTCCAAACAACAGGTAACATGAACATGAAGGATTTTTAAATTTTTTTTTAAGATTTTTTAAAATTTATTTAATAGAGACACAGCGAGAGAGGGAACACAAGCAGGGGGAGTGAGAGAGGGAGAAGCAGGCTCCCCACTGAGCAGGGAGCCCGATGCAGGGCTCGGTGAGGGGCTTGATGAGGGGCTCGATCCCAGGACCCCGGGATCATGACCCAATCCAAAGGCAGATGCTTAATGACTGAGGGACCCAGGTGCTCCACAACGACGGATTCTTAATAACTGTCTTGACATGTCTGTTTTTTCTCAGATGGAGAAAGAGATATCTGTGAATAATAATAAATGTGCTCACTGTGGAGTAACTAAAGATTGTGAGTTCTACTTAAGCTCTGATATTACTAGATATGAAATCTAGGCACCTTACTAAACTACTCAAAGCCCTGGTTCCTTGTACGTAAGAGAAGTTATCTCCATCACACAACATGTTCAGAATGCACATGAGATTTAGTTTGTAAGTTTGAACCATTCTAATTTTAATTATTATTACTGTTTTTAGATCTCAGTCATAATGAAGTTGGTGTAATTTGTTGTTTATATTAGATACCTAAAAATCTGAAATTTATGCTGATAAGTAAGAGAACAAAACCAAAAATCTTTTGGAATGGCATCAGTTACTCTGGAGTGAAAGGAAGCCAACCTGGCGTGCCAACCACGACGGCCTCACCTCTGCCTGAAGGATATGGTTAGAAGCATTTCTGGTTACTCTTCATATTAAAATCTTTGGCATTTTGGCTCTGATATATCAGTCCTTTATTGGATGACTTTAGATACTGCACTGTAAAAGAAAACTTTATAACTTCCCTTAAACTGTGCCTTAAATATTAATTTTATACAGCTACTGGGATTGGTGAAACTGATTTCAACAAAAGCCCCAATCAAATTGAAATTTAATCTATCTTAGGAATCTAGAAAAGTACACAATTTAATTTCCATAGCTACTATTCATTATTGAAGACTGCAGGACTGACACTGAAAAAAAAGAGAAAGAACAAAACATCAACTGCCCATTTTCAGATGTTCTGATACACGACACAGGAAGGATGATGTGGTAGTTCTAATGGCAGACAAGGTAAGACTACAAATCTTGGAACAACCATTTACTGGCTGTGTGGTCTTGGGTAAGTTTCAGTATTTCTCTCTGCCTCAGCTTACTAAGTGGAAGAATGGGATAACAACATCTAACTCAACAGATATTGATTACAGAAACCAAAGATTCAAAATGCTAATATAAGTAAAGCTTCATATACTGTGTTCCTCATAAACATAAAATCCAAGTGAATGTTAAAAAAAATCAACTCAGCCCTTCCCATAAAAAACGTAAAGTAAAATAAAACAAAAAAATTTAAAAAGTAAAAAGCTTCCTAAACTTAAAAGGAAATTTAAAATAGATCTTTAGTTTCTGAGAAAACAGCCTATGCCTTTGGAAAATCCTTTCAAAAACTAAATTTTCCCTTTAACTATCTCAGAGTCCTTTTTCTGTCAAGAGCCTCCTCTTTTCTGCTATTTTCCAGATGTCAGCAGACCTACTGTATTACTTTGTTTGAGCTAAATTTAATACTTAATTACCTACTTGTTACTATTAACCTGTGAGTAAAATAAAACAATACATTACTTCAAAAATTTTCATGTTAATCTTTACAACTACAAAAGATACCAAATATAAATGAAAAGAAGCATTACTATTGTCCTGTATTCAGTGTAACATGAATCAGTACCACAGCAAAATGAACTATATAGGTACTTTTAAAAAGTATGGTGAAGAATATAAATTTTATTCATTCATCATTCTCATCTTAACATGCCAAGAATGAATGGAGAAGGAAATCTAAACATCAATGCTCCTGATATTTTTTCAAGGGTCAAATAATATGCTTTAAAAATAAGTCAAGGAACACTATATCAAAAACTAATGATGTACTGTATGGTGACTAATATAACATAATAAAAAAAATGTCTATAAACTAAATGAAGGTTTCCTATTCCAGAAAATACAGCCATGAGCTACTGGTTCCATATGAGACCCAAAACAAAATCCCTACTCTTAGTTTTAAGGTATCTTATAGAATAATAAATTGCAAGGGTTCTTTAAGTAAACTTTACTAAAGAAGAAAACTATGATGTTTTATATCAGATGTCAAAGTTGTTTTTTTGGAAAAGAAGATAAAGAGGCCTTTCAGGCTAAGAAAGTGTATCTTAAAAAAGAAAGGATATAGGGAAGAAGATAGCATTTTTACCTTCTCAGACACTAATATTAATGTGGTAATTTTTTATAATATTAACATAGATTGGTTATCTATATTAATCTGACATAAATGTGTTTGTATTTAACACGCAAGTGAGTAATAGATCAAGTATCTAGACCCTGTAATTTATTGCATTACTAAGTTAACATGTATTTACATCATTTTGAAGGACATAGACCTAAAAATGGGAATTTTATATAAGTATTTGCTAACTTTTATTATTGTCATAATAAATTCAAACTAAACATCTACTTAATCAGAACAAAGTAGCTTTATGTTAAATGTCTTCGTCAAGAATTTGAAAGACATTTCCCAAATAAAGCTAAAGCAATATTTATCTGAAAGATACAAGAAGAAATTGATACCCAGATACATCTAAAGTGACTTGACAACAGAATAAAAAATTCATAAAAAATTCTGGGATATGGATATAGTTCTCCTAGAATATTTTAAACAATTTGGATCTCAAGCTATCAACTACTCCCAAAATTCTTTAAAAAAATTCTTATCTGCAGCTTATTAAACTTATATAAAAATATTAAAAACATTTGCATCAGTTTCTTCATATGTAATTCTCTTGAACTTTTATGTTATCACTTTAAACGTATATATTATAAGGTCTTCTTCAAGGGGAAAATTAGGATATATTCAGAATACCCTTTTGGGGAGGCAGCTGGGACAATGGTGAAACAGGTGATGGGGATTTAGGATGAGTACCTTGGGATGTAGGAAGTGCTGGGTCACTACACTGTACACCTGAAACTCATATTACCCTGACTGTTCAATAACTGGAATTTAAACAAAAGCTTAAGAAATCCACGTATAAACCAAAAACAAAACAAAAAAGTCTCTCCTTTTATCATTTCTGATAAGTAGTTTATGCAGATCCTGTAAAAATATAAAATGGCTCTTCCCAGGCTCATGGTTCTTCTTGGTGGAGAACAGACAGGGCCAATGAGCAAAATCATATTGAAGACAAACTCAACAGAGGTTGGAAAGTTGCCTTTCCCTACTAATGATGCTGTACACTAACGGATGAGAGTGAGAGAGGCCCCCCCAAGAGCAAAGCTTGTTTTTAGTCAGCATTCCTACTACTTACCCAAGGTGCTCACCAGTAAAATCACAATTTCTTTCAGGCCATACTCCCGCATCTTAATCATGGTGAAACTCACCTCCCTACCCCCCTCCCAATGCTCCTTCTTATGCCCACGTCCTGCTGCAGGCTTCCTGGGTGAAAAGGTCAGAGGCAAGGAAACATTTGCTACCTTGATGTGTTCCTGGAGCTGCGCCTGGTGCTGCCGTGTCAAGTTCTCATGTTGTTTCTGAAACTCGGCGATCAGGAGCTGCTTCTGGATTTGCTGCTGTTGCTGGATAAGGAGTAACTCTTGCTGCAGTTGCTTCTCACGGACAACAGGATCCACCACAGGCATCATCATCCTGAGGTCGGTCCTCAGGTCTAAAGGTGAGATGGGCTCCAGGCCCACGGGAACTTCTGACTTCACATCCACTAGAGAAGCAGGAGGAAAAAGAAAGGGTGGGAGAGCATGACAGAGGATAGGAAATGAGTATGTTGATTTGGAAACAAACAAAAAATAAAAAACACTATACCGTATATGAACAGATTTTGTGTCAACAAGTGAAGTCATTTTTACAATGATAATAAAAGGTCATTAGTGTATCAGTTTTGGTAAAATGGACCATACGCTAACTTTCACCCAGCGACCCACTTTCATGAATCTTCTGAATTTCTTTTTTCAAAGAGATGAATCCTGCACCCACCACCATCCCCCCCGCCACCCCACAAAAAAACCAAAAACCAAGAACCACAAAGAGATGAATCCAGTTATTTCCTGGTATCAAAGTCATTCACAAAACTTACTCTACTGGACCACTTAGTAGTAAGTTAGGCAAACCTGGGACAAAAAAATGCTACTCTACTGAAGAAGAAATGCCAAGTTTAAAGAGAAATTTCTATCACAACTCGATTTCCACACTTGCAGGCATGTTAGTTTGTAATCAGAGTCAGAAGATATATTCTAAGATATATTCCTCAAGAATTAAGGAATTCCTTAAGAATTAAAGCTTTCAACAATGTATCTGTGGGGCTGTTGGACCTGCCAAAGAACAAGTACAAATCTGCATGCTAAGATGTTGAAAATGGTGAGTGGATTAATCAACCACAAGTGTCAGGTCTTTCAACGATGATAAACTCTATTTCAGTTACCTTATTCCTAAAATGAGTAAGGCATAAAAATGGTGAGGAAGCTTAAAACAAATCAAACCACTAGAGGAACAAAGACTGATGAGATTAATTAATTTGACAAGAATAATTATAGGATATTTAAATTTTAAAAAAAAGATAACATAAAAAATTCTTACTACTTCTATCAGATCATTTGTAGGAGAGTAGAAGCACAAAAATTCATAGACAAGGTAGTAGGAAGTAACAACATGGAGTTGTTAAAAGGATTAACTGGGATAATCCACTCTAAGGACTTACAACATACAGAACATTTCTCAATAAATGCTCTGGGTTTTTTAAATTAATAAAAATGGAATTTTCCTGTGTATGAAAATAAATCAACACAGTGTGGCTAACAAAACAAAAATATTAAGAGCAAGTATGCAAATAAAATTGCATAAGATTTTCATTTAATACTAGAAAATAAAAACACTAAAACTTCTAGAAAAGTGGAAAAGAATATAGAGGAATATAAATAATCTTTATTTTTTTAGAAGATTTTATTATTTATTTATTTGTCAGAAACAGAGAGAGAGAGAGAGAGAGAGAGAGAGAACGTGTGCACAAACAGGGGGAGCGGCAGGCAAAAGGAGAAGCAGACTCCCCAGTGAGCAAGGAGCCTGATGCGGGACTTGATCCCAGGACCCTGGGACCATGACCTGAGCTGAAGGCAGGCGCATAATGACTGAGCCACCCAGGTGTCCCTAAATAAACAATTTTTAAAAATTTACCTTTACTAGTAAAGAAATGCAAATTCTAAGTCAAAGTAAGGCATCATTTTCTAAACATTAAGTATCATCTGTACGATCCACGTATATGCATATGTGTGTATAATACCCCATTGTGTGGTGTAAGCATTTGAACAAGTAGATAATTACATATCGCAAGTGGTATTACCAAATGGTTAGAGCTTCTGAAAAACAACTTGGTGATATGTAGGAAAAATCATTAAATATTCTACCATTTGATTCAGGTTTGCCAACTGTAGGAATATATCTTAAGGAGACAATAATTACGGGAAAATACAGTTCAATGTCATACCATCCACTGAAGTATTATCATTTTAATTGAAATCCACCAACTACAAGGAAGCGTCTAAGTAAAATATGTCACATCCATATGGTGGAAAAACACATACTCATTAAAAGTAATGTTTATGGGAACATGAAGAATGCTATTACAACATTAAATGAAAAAACAGTAATAAAAGTGACATATACCCTCTGATAACTCTTTAAATAAATACAACTTAAGCCAATACACATTCACATTTATGGAGAGCCTTAAATTCTAAGGGATGTAAGGTTTGGTAGGAAAGCAAAAAAGACAAAAAATTCCAGCCCTCTTGGAGCAAATCTTCTAGTGAGTTTTTAATTGTATTAGTCTCTGAATCCTTGTAGCAAAGACTGGTGACATACAGAACAGAACATAGTTATATTTGGAGTGGAAGTAGAAATAATTTCCCCTTCTTACTTTTCTGTATTTTTCCAAATTGCATTTAATGCTCTGACTACTATTGTAAGTAACTTAGATTTGTAGATTCCAGGTTGGGAACTACAAAGTTAATTTTCCGTGTGGATTTAAGAGCTATTTTCAGTGAGTCGAAAGGCTAACAGAAATCTTGTCTGTAGAAGTTAAGGCTGCAAATACTGAATGAAACATTAATGTCCTTACTTATCACTTGAATTGCCTATGTGTACAGGGCATGTGGTATACACCTGTGGGTGGGGTGGGAGGGGGCGCTGGTATCAATCTTGGGTTGTGAACCCTGGTCAACTTTTCAACATTATTGATCAGAAGCTTGCATTGATGGTACTACACATGTTACTTTAACGGAAATGGTAAAACAATTTATTAATAAACCATAGTTTGGTGGACAGTGTCTTCTAAAACACTGATATTTATGAAAGGAGAGATAGTAATTGTGACAAGTTTGGGATTAAATGAAGATGATGGCCTGTATGATTTCTTAGTAGCAGGGTCTGTTGTAGAACTTTCAATCAAGACTCTGGAGTAACACGAGATTTTGAGCATTAATTTATAGAGTTGGTATAATTCCAGCCAAAAGCAATGACTGTTAATGATATATTTCATTTTTGCATTAAAAAGGCCAAACTACAGCCTCCAGTGTTTACATATGGAAATCCCAATAAAGAAAGGTCAGAATTTAACCCTATAAAGACAAAATGTAGAATTTCAGGAGACCCTGGGGTCTTTTCGTGTTGTCCTTCTTCTTATCCATAAAAAGTGAACATCAAATCCCTAAGAAACCTCTCCCACAAAACAAGGTAAGGGGGAAGAAAAGTCCCAGATCTCTCCAAAACAGCTATTGTAAACCTCAAAGGGTAATTTGACTTCTTAACCTGCTATCCCAACAGAAATGATTGTGTCTAACTGCTTGCCTTTGTTCAGAAACTAATCACTAAATTGTGAAAAATCACCCTCGACTTACAAAAACTGCTCTTGATTATAAATAATTGCCCAAGACTGAGAGAAAGCGGCAAGCAAGATCCCAGTCTTTCATCCAATTTATTCAGCAGCAATCCACATTCCATTTGTCTAGACTAAATATAGCAGCGTTTATACAAGAAATCAATAGTGCTTGCAGAGAGGAGAGCAAAGGCATGAATATTTCATCAAACTCAGAGAGAAATGGCAATCAGCAAACTGTATAGGTCATCTTTGGCCTGCTGGATTAGTTCTTTTATTTGGACAATAGCTCATCTCTGGCTAATCATAATCATATCATAACCATTCTTTCTATTTTTAACATTAATTGCATTGTGGGTGACAAAGACTCATCATATTCCAAAAGAAATGATGGATTTTTCTTACAGCGTCTGTGACAGGCTAATAAGCTTCCCCAGGACTAATAATAGTAACACAAGACCAGGGCTGAGTTTCAACAAGTTACAGTCACTTTCATATCATGAAATGTGAAAGAAAGGGCATTGTCTACAGCTGCTGTATTATCATAATTAGAAATAATCAACTTAAAAGAAAAAACTAACAACCACTTTTAACAGTGAGGAAATGGAATCATCTCTATTCATAACATTTCTTGTCTAGGAACATCTAAATTTCTTATAAATTACTTTAAACAGGTGCCAGTGATACATAAGTTAGAAAGAAGTTGATGCAACAAACTGTAGATATTAGCAGCACTAGCTAAAAACAAATCATGTTTTCTTAACAGATCTCAATTACTTTAGCTCGAGACCTCATAACTTTATTTCAACTCACTATGTTTGTCTGAGATTCCAACTACATGCCAACACATATATATGTTATATTTATATTATTATTCTAATACCAAATGCCCAGTTACAACATTTCAAAATATATATTAACTAGTCTTAATTATCACTTTACAAAGCCTTGTTCATTCTTTCTCCAGTGTCTTTCTTAATTGTTTCTTTGAAAGTTATTTATTCTTCTGTTTAGCCTTAATCAAGTTAGGCAATTTTGTTTTAGAAATAGTTTTTAATGAACATGGAAACAAAAATCTCCCACATCAAAATAAAAATCTCAAACCATATAATCGCATCTATTTAAGCAATACCCACTTTATAGTAACTTAATTTCTTCAACAAATTTTTAAAAATATTTTTTAAAGTGTTAATTCAGAGTTTGAAGGATAACCTAGCCACCATGAGTATTTAGGTTTTCACTTTAGATACTGTTATTTATAGCACAGGTAAGTAGGGAGAATTTTCATATGTTCAAGACCAGAAATCTTTGGTTGCTCTTTGTCAGCTGACTTACAAACAAGAATCCATTATTTTTAAGACTGTTTTAGGTGAACAGTTTGCAAACCCGATGGATGGGAAAATTCAAAGAATGCACATTTTTGACCATTTACAACTATCACAACTATGGCTGAAGACTTCACCCTGCCCCACTGAAATGAGATCTCAAAGTAGTAGCGTGCAAACTACAGGTTTTCGCAAACCATTGGCACAGGCGCAATCTCACCACCATTTGTAGGTGCCAACTCAGCTAAAAGTTGTAACTTGAAAAAATGCAATAAAAACTAGCACCATGTTTATCTCAGTTCATATTCATAACTACAGCAGCTATAACTCGGGGTAGAGCATCACCATTGCTGTCCAGAGCCAATTTACATGGAAATTAAGTTCTTTATACCAAGGAAATTGTTCTCCACAACCATTGGCAAGTGGACATATCAACTACAAGTGCTAGAATTGGGGAGAAACAAATGTTCTGATCATCTGATCAGCTAACATAAGCCGTTCTCATTGCGA